CTGAAGCGAAGTCCGACAGCCTCTTTTCCGGGAATCGGTTCTTTCGAGTAGTTAATTTAGACAGAACCGGTTCATATCAGATACCGCGGTTCTTTTACTTCGAACGTGATACCGACATCCGATGCCGCGTGTTCTAAAAGCTGGTTTTTATCTAAGTAAATCTTGATACTACGATATTATAACATTTAACTAGTTTCTAGAAACAGATATCTTAGAGAAAGAACGGTAAGTAGCCTATACAGGCGGTTTGTAGAGTCAATTTTGCAGAAAAGGTCAGGTGAGCAAATTCCTGTTTATAGTAACGTTAAATGCATGCTGTTTGCAAAGGAGTGTCAGGACAATTTCGAGTACTGATCACGCGTTTTCTTATAATGGCACTTCAATGTTGTAACAACGTAAGCTTGTCTTCATGCGTTCCAAGTATGCAACTGTACAGTGTAAAAGTTCACTATTGTTAATATCGCTTAGATTTACACACGCCCCATATTACTGAAGCGAAGTCCGACAGCCTCTTTTCCGGGAATCGGTTCTTTCGAGTAGTTAATTTAGACAGAACCGGTTCATATCAGATACCGCGGTTCTTTTACTTCGAACGTGATACCGACATCCGATGCCGCGTGTTCTAAAAGCTGGTTTTTATCTAAGTAAATCTTGATACTACGATATTATAACATTTAGGCTACTGCAATTTAATGTGCCCCAGTTTAATTTGTTGCAGCCATTATTCAGCTCATTAATAATATGTCGTTTCAAACCTTTTTCAATAATCAACGCTGCACGCGAGAAGGGTCTGGCTGCAGCTAGCGCGTGCACTTCCGCTAGCGACGTCACTTGCAGTCTTTATTATTTTTTATTTTGTTCTATTTATTGATTACTTTTTGTTTGAATCTCTCAGCATTTTACAACAGTAGCCAGGTGGTGAAGACCAGAAAAAATAAACTAAATTACGAAGTCCCTTGCAATCGACACGAATCGTGCGTGTTGCCAATGAAGACAAGACGCTGTGCTGGTGATTAAACGATGTCTAACATAACACTAAGCCAAACACCAAAAAAACAACTACATATGTGTGTATGTACAACCACACACACATACATATATACTGTATATGTACATACACATTTATCAATTCAATATATATATTATTTCATTTCCATTTAGTTTGTTGAAGTATTAAAATAACTAAAATTAAATAAAACTAAAAACTGAATAAAAGACCTATACAGACATAATAACTTCAGACATAATGTAACTCAAATTAAAATACACAACAAATACAACTAATACAAATCAAATGACAGTAGTTTATCAGTAATCCTAAAAAATAACACTGCCTATCACACATGCTAAAAAACAACAACTTACTGACACATAGTAAGAAATGGTTATAAAAACTGAAACAGAAGCGAAACAAGTAATAGGAAAGAGGAGAAATAAAAAGCAATACTTATGAAAACTAATGAAAGTACTATACAAGTATAAGTATTTAGTACAATGCTCCTGCAAGAAAAAGATAAGACCCGCAAATCCGTGGCCACAGAACAGCAGAATATGAACGCATGCACAAAGTCTCTCTTCCTCCTGTAGAAAAACAGAAACACTTAACATGGCTTAATGTATTAAGATACATTAAGTGCAATTAAAAGATCAAATTCGATATATAGTTATTATTTAATGTACTACAAGGCAAGCAGATGGCCTTTCACTTGTCCTCCCATACAGCAAAACGCTTAATGTGGCATAATAACAGATGATAAAGACAATTCAGTAGCCTATATGTCTTGTTGTTGACTCAAAGTATATACAGAACAGCAAATATGAACGTGCATTATGAAATGCAT